GTCTTAAAATCGAGACCAATGTTCAAATGAAGTTAGTGAAACCGGCGCCTCTACCAGCTCTCTTTTTCCTAGAGTCACTCTTAACATTGGAACAACTTTGGTTAATAGGGTGCCTAAAAGGGCCACTGTAAATCATCGACCAAATATTCAGATCCCGATGGGGTTTAATTCCTCACACCCTAATTATCCAGGGATCATCTGTTCGGCTTTTTCCAATCGGATTACCTGATTGCCACACTATTGTACCTTCAAATTAGCTGTCCATTTTGGAATAATCTTATCATATTGATGTATGTTTTAGGACACATTCAGAACAAGGTGATCCGTGGACCAACATATCCGCGGATCAAATATGGTCGACCCACTTGCAAATTTGCCGCGTGATCCTCTAATAAACAGTTGATAGATTCCCCGCGCAGATTATGCGATCAGGTAGGTCGCCCGCCCATATTTGATCCGCGGATCTATTAGTACGCGGATCAACTTTGGTTGTTAATGCAACCTTATAATGGTGGAAAGGAGAGGAAGGTATGATGAAGGGGTTCTGAAATTCAGGAAAGAAATATGGAGTTTGTATAGAGTTTATGCCTGATTTTATTTGATAACTAGATGGGGATAGAGGTTTGTTTTCCAGAATTATTGAAATGCACAATTTGCACGCACTGAAAACATGAACAAGGGATAAATATGATTTGTATTTTTACAATAATAATTTGTATTTGAAAACTGATCGCTTAATTGGAATACAGTTGATTGCATTGGGGGGGGGTGCAGGGGGCACCTCCCTCTCTCTGCTTTCGTCCTTCTCTTCTCCCTTTTCATTCTACTATTGTGGTAACAGAAATGGCAATTTCCTTTTTACCTATAAGCATGCGTGCTCTGCCAAATACATGTCAATCGGCAAGACGTAACATGCGTTCAGATGAGGACTCAGCAAAGGTCAAGATGAACCCAGTTCCTTCTGTCTCGTATCGACCGCAGATTGCTCAAAGGAGAAATATCAGAAATCGATGAACGTTTTCCCACATACACTGAACGGATTTAGGGTTAAGAGTCGTATGCCTTATTCAGCTCAGTTGCAAACTTGGCCCACCTTGAAACGGGCTTTTTTCTCAGGAATCTTAGGCGTTAAGAGTATTTTGGATCCCATAATTGATAAGACTTAACCATGGTATTGGAGTAAGAAGTAACAACCTGGATTTGCCAACACAGCTTTCACTACATGTTCTCCACCCTGGGTTTCTGAGAACAGAAGGTGACTTCTTTCCGCTAAGCATACATGCTCTTCGTTATCGAAAGACGAATTCGGGTTTATTGTACGCGCCAATGGATATTACAAAAGAGTTCATTAACATAATGGAGAAATGGTATTTTTTTTGGTTATGAATCGCTGGAAGAATAACAGAGTTTAATGATGTTATTAGACGTAAACAAGACCGGTATTTACTCCTGTCTGTAACCAGAACCCTTAACGACTTCGGCAACCGAACGAGAAAAATCTAGCATGGAAGGTTATAGCTTGACAATTGCACACCTGTTCATGGCCAAGACTCTGAAACTAAATACGGTGGATTATGGCGCCAGACCGAGCTAATTGCGCGATTAGGGCAGGTAAGGGATCAGTGCCGTACAATACATGTATTAAAGCTCGTTGCCTTTAATCCGTGCGTGAAATATTGAAACGCCTGTAGGTGCTGAAGCACTTATCGATATATGGTGAATGTGTGTGTGTATGTGATTTCTTTATGTACGTTGTGTGTATAAAGATCAAGGGTAGGGTTTTATGTAAAGTAGAATGAGACAGGATTTGGAAGCCTTTTACTTACCTGGGATATTGAGTCAGTTTCTAGTGACAGAGATCAACTCTCTCTCTCTCCATCTCTCAGTTTCTCTCTCTCTCTCTCTCTCTCTCTCTCTCTCTCTCTCTCTCACACACACACACACACACACACACACACACACACGATGTTTGAAGGTATAACAAACCATATGCAGTTACATATTGAATTCATATGGTGTGCTTTGGAGAGTGGATGAAACAGAGGGAGAAAAAAGCGTGATATCATTGTATCGATCATTTAACGAAAATCCCGATTAAACACATGCGCGTACGCATTTTTAAAGTGGCGACTAAAGCCAAAAAAAAAGCGAAATAAAAGCACAATCTTAAAAAATAAAACAGACATGAGCATGCACACACTAACACGTGCAACTGCCCCCACATACGCACACACACACTCACAGGAAAACACCCTTGCTCGCACAAGCGCACTCAGGTATAGGTAACAATATTGATAATATGCAGGATAAAGAAAAAAAAACATACAAGGTGCAAACGAGCTCCCCAATGTTTACAAAACCACAACTGTTCGTGTATTGAGCTGAGTAAATCAGTATTCGTCACTTTTCATACCAGTAACATAACATTACACCAGTAAAGCACCATGACACGCATCGTTAGAAAGTGCACTTAATCCTCATCACGACGCTTTATATCCCATGTGTTGTTTTTAATGTGAACTTGATTACGTTATTTATCAGTATCACTGAGTGATATGGTCATAATGAGGATGCCAACTCATCTTTTTTAGTGAAAGATGAAAACTGATGATTTAGCTTTTGGCTGTGGAAAATAATGTGTGTTACATGTAGTGCTTAAAGGTGCGGAATGCGTGTTAGAACTTCATAGCAAAAAGAAACTCCCGGAAATCCCAGGAATTTTCCCTGAAGTACCAAGATATATTCCGATCAAACATTTTGTGAAAACTGATCTGCAGGCCCGTTTTCGGGTTTTTAATTTTTTTACCTCTGAAACCCGCCAGTCTCCATCTCCAACAAGTCTGACATAAAAAATAGAAATTTAGAAATGAAAACAAAAGAAAAAAAGATAACTGTGCCACTGAGCGGAGGAGGGAGGGCACTGGCATGTTTTTATTAAACTTTCCTCTGTGGTAATTTCCATATGGTGACATAATTTGTTAGTTTAAAAATCTTTGAAACTGATTTCTGTTTTGAGAAGATTTTATTATAAATTCAATTAAATAAAATTTTGCCATAGGTGAATTTTCATTACAGTCCATAGACGTATGAACTGGGATACATGTACATCTATACGCCCTAGCTAAGACCCCATTCCCATAGATTAGATCGATCTACTTTAGATCGACCTAACTCCCTGGGGGTTCACACTAAATAGCTGTCAGCCGAGCGGGCACGAAAGTTAATTACCCCCTTACAGCTTGTAGTAGGCGGGACGGACATTTAAGCCGGATTATCTGACAGTAATCTAGTGAGACTCCCCGCGGGGATAGATCGATCTAAAAGCTCTGGGAATACGCCCTAAGAAGCAATGGGTACTATCCATCAAACTGGAAAGTGGTCCCTGTTAACACCGTAGGTAAGACGAGGTCATAGACCTTGATCAAGCACCATGTGCACGTAATGTGAGTGATCAATGCGGATGATTGGCCATTTGCCTTGGTTACAATAAATGAAAAGTATACTATCACAAAGCATGTTCTCCCCTATACGGTTTGTACAAACACGTGGTCATAGATTTTGTTTCATATAGCTATTGCCTTATATACTATGAATATTAAGATGCAAAATATTAGAAAAGTGGGGAATCTCGGGCGTACACAAAACAATGGGAAGCTGTTTTAATTTATCTCCTCGTCCAAATACCAACTGGCAATCTTGTCCTTGGGGTTTGTAGATAAAGATTTTTTGTAATGTTGGTGTGTCCAAAAGACCTGTGAACGTCTGGTGCCGTTGAACATGTAAATTGATCTTGATAGGTCGCTTTTGGCCGATTACAATTTAGTTCGGAGTGACACATGTAAGTACAAATGCACCGCGGTTGCGTGACATGCGGTATAAAAAAAACCTTGTTGAAACGCAACCGTATTTGCGAGAGGCACTGTACATCACTTTACGGTTCAACAAATCACTCTAGGGAATTAAAAGCTGCAGCACTGGAATTAAAAGCTACAGCATTGCCGACATGAGATATTGAATAAGGACTAACATTCTGCTTTTCGACAGGAAAACCAATTTCTTCTGACAAAAATAACCAAACCAGATGAAATATGATGCAATAAAAACCAAATTATCGAGAGATGTGTATATCAGTTTTGTTCTGTTAGTTAGGAATTGGCATTAAGTCTGAAAGCATTTCAGATAGAAACAGATCGTTTTTCAGTCCTAGGGAGTGAGGCAAGTTATTGTAGTCAACGTCTTTATTAAAGTGAGTAATAGTATTTTTCTTATTGTGATTTAATGACCATATGTGGACAAAACCGCAAATTAACTTCGCTTGATACATGTATTTGATAAATTTGTGACGCATCTGTCACATATCACATGTCACAACCGAAGGCGTATTTATTTATTTATTTATTTATTTATTTATTTATTTATTATATTTTTGGTAATTTGAGAGTCCAACTTTTGGTAAAATGTTCGTGACAAAATTGCCATGTTGTACAATGTACATGTGCAACAGATTGGTACACTGTTCTATGAGACGCGTACGTTCAACAAGTATCATTTTAATCCTTTTATTTGTCTGATTAATTATTCCGAATTTCAACGAACACGGAAACCATTTTAAGACGTTACCTAGAAGTAGGTTGTTCTGGAAATCAAACACCAATAAGCAAGGTATGCTCGCTTGTCCCCCGCGGTACTAAACAAAAAATTGACAATATCTGCCAACAGATCTCAGATATCTGGAGAATCATGTTCCCTGAGTTTATTGTTATTGTCATGGCAATTGTTGCCAGGTAACAAGACGTAAACCCCATTACGGTTATTGTATCATGCTCAGTAATGCAATTTCTCTGATGGGGATGTTCAAGGTAGGACTGAATCATGCCTTACGATTAAAGGCAAAGCACTCTTCCATCTGGTTACTCAGAGAAAAGGTGCATAAGCAATGCGTACTTTCGTGCTGTCTCTATGATTCATAGTATTTTAGCGGTTATTTTCTTATTTTTCAGATTTTGTGACTAACAGAGGACCGTCAGAAGCGTACAAAAGACAAGTGAAGTCGCTGATAGGCGGATTTGTATTGGGATAAGTTTGTCATCACAGCTGAAACCAAAGAAAACAGTATCAGAAACAGGGCAGGAGTATATGGCTGCAAAAGACAATCATTTAAGACAGATACAAGATATTAAGTGTACTTGTTAAAACAGTGAATCGGACTATCGACTTCTTCAACCGTCACCGAACAATCTTTTTACAGTAATTGTGTGACCGCCAGATAGAAGCACTGTCGCACGATTTTAAAATCGTTATAGTATCCATTTAAGTTGCCATTACATTCTATGCACTGAAGACCAGGAGAATATATAAGAGATCCCCACTTTAAACGCGGGAAACAGGAAGTTGACCATCAGAGGCACTCTTGCCAATTAGCTTCATCACGCATCGAATCGGGATTGCATCGTTGCCAAGGAATGTGGTACTAGATAAGGAACTCAGTGTTTTCTATATACAGTTTCGTTCCCGTTATTCCCTGGAAATTTAAGAGGAGGTCGGATCATACGTGCTGGAATTTGCCTCCACTAAATTCTTCATGATTCACTTGTCTAAGATTATATCTACGTCTCAGAAATAATCCAGGAGTTGGGGTTTTCCCAAATTCTCAATTCTCCCGAGGGCTGTTAAAATTTGTACACACAAAACAGTGAGTGGCCCCATAATACATTCCTAGCAACCCGCCATTTCCGCGAAAAATGGTTTAAAGCCAGATTATTCAATCTGGTACCAATCGATATACATCAATACGGAATTAATACGGCAACCTCAAGCAAGCCTAGTCCATAGCGGCGGTCTGTATGATAATGGTCTCTGCCAGTGTCTGCCTGTTAATAATGCTAACTGTTGAATCCCTAATTGGATTGGGTTGCACTTTTACATTGGCTGTCTACTAGATGCATATATTTGAACGGGCTGTGTTACAACTGATATCTGAGAAGAAATATATACGCAGATCTAGGTCTGCGATTCCTGGTTGTGTTGATGGACCAAGATTTCTTCCATCTAGATAGACCAGAGAGACCGTTCTTCGATTTCAGAGGGTCAAATAGGCCATTCTACGATTCCATAGAGCCTAGGTAGACCGTGCCGCGATTTCAGATAGGCAAGATTATAATACGATTCGAGATTCGAGACAAGATAGACCTTTCGTTTCGCAAAACCAAAGCGATTAAGTTTCATGCGACATACGTGTATCAGGAAATATTGGCCAAAGTAGCTGAATGCGTCTTGAAATATTGAGACACCCAGTAGAGGACCAAAATATGTTACTGCGACGATATGATGTTATGAATCGTTTTGAAATACCGACGATTAAAATTTAAATTGGCGTTAAACGGAATACAGTTTGAAATTTCATAAGCTCTGAAATTCATAGATCTAGTTATTCAAATTCAAGGCAATTGTAAAATTGGAAATCCGAATGCAAGGATATATTTACTGAAACCCTCAAGAATAATTCTGAAAGGACCATTGGAAGTTCTCAAAAATACGTCGATCGGAACATTATGATGGCAGAAGAAAATGGAAACAAAGATGACGATGCCCACATCTACGAAAACGCCGATGCCGTTGCCGCTGCCGCAGAACTAGAAGACGTTAACCAGAACGTCATTCGACAGCGGCCACGAAGACGGGCGGCGCTTATAGGGGACGCTCTGTGCAATTTTATCCCGAACGATTACAATAAAATTCCTGATGAGGAGAGGAACCATCTGCCTCGTGCATCAACGAAGATGATTGATAAACTTGAATTTTCGCCGAAAAAAGTGAAATTGTCTCCACCTATAATGACGTTAAAAAACGGATTGGGAGATGGTAGGTCCCCGTCTATGTTAAATGGGGACTACGCGTCACTTTCGCCAATGGCGCCAACTACCCAAGAACAGCAACAGCAGGGAGGGCTAGCAGAGCTCAAAGCTATGACTGCCCGGTTAAATCTAAGTACAAGACGAAGGAGCACCGTCGAGTGGCAGGAGAAACACTTACAGAGAGGCACGAAAGGAAAACCGAACTCGGTACAGAATGGACTTGGTACGATATCGGAAGATGGCGTCGAGGATTCTGACCACACTGCGGCGCCACTGTCGGAGGCGGAGCAGCGAATAAGTGATGCTTTGGATTGGTTACGAGAGGAACTAGTAAGTTTATCGCTTTATTCGTTTCTGATTGACGCGACTTATTAAACATGTATCTGCAAAACAAAAGTGAACGAGAGCGCAGACCTCCGCCAAGGCAGCGATTTTTGGTTATTATTGATTATTGATTGATTATTGATTCGGATCACCACCAAAAACTAATCATCTCTTACTTGGCCCACTTTAGACAGTTCCTGAAAATTTCATTAAAATCAGTCCATAACTTTTTGAGTTATGTTGATGACAAACAAACGGACAGACAAACAGGAATGAAAACATAACCTCCTTGGCGGAGGTAATAATTGCATGAACATTTATAATGATATCATTGTTATTAAGGCTTTATCATTTAATTTCAGACTGAAATGCGTTCCCAAGATCAGGACCTTGCGCGCCAACTAATATCCCTCCGCCACGAAATCCATCAACTCAAATTACAACAGAGCTGCAACGAGCACCAGGAAATGCTCGCAGACGCACGAGACGAGTTGGAGGACGAGAAAGAAGTCAAGAATTTGGAACTCTGGGACACCGCTCTTGATACAAGTGCGGAAAACCCGACGCCTTTGCGATCGTTGGGTCATTTGGGAGTGACGCGTATGAATTTGACTTCCAGGCGGTTTTCAATGAGGTGAATGGAATCCTGAATGTGATTGGTGGATAATCAGAGGAAATTGTTGATCTGGGGATATCTTTGGGGAGAATGCGATTGGATGATAATAACGTGAAAAACGAGATTGGACGGTGACGGGAAAGCATGCACTAGAATAATAAATGTGGAAATAAAAAGAGTTTAGAAATAATTGTTTGAAAAGAGGACTTGCAACTGAAATGATAAGCAGTTGTTTTCATGAATGGATATGCCTCTTACATGTAGATGGGAGATCTTTAGCTAGTGACGAAAAGGCAGTGATTCGGTTTGCCATTTTCTCTATTCGGGGACGTTTTCCCATGATCAGAGAAGGAAGCGGAAGTGAGAGAATTGGATCTCTTGCTTGTAAGTGGGGTTTGGACCAAAAGGCCTATCACTTCATCATACTGAGTCCAAAGAGAGAAAAAAATGAACAGCTTGCTCTCTCTTCTTAAGATTTTCTTAATTTAATTATTATCTGTTTTATGCGAGGCACTCTGCAGCAGACTACACTCGAAGAAGGATTGGATGTAACGGTTATAAGCTGAAATGATACTCTGAGGCAATACAAGAGATTCACTCTATTTGACTCTTACAAGGACCGTAACGATATAATTTAAGTGCTGCTCAAAACTTGGAAAAAAACGACAAAACATGGCATTAAATTGACAAAAAGTGCGTGACTTTAGGCGACATCAAAACAAAAATCATTACCAAATTACTTTGCGTCAATAAATCACTTAAAATTATCTAATACAATAAATCTTGCAAACAGTCACTTTTGATAATAAGCAAATCTTCTATTAAACTTATAAGAAAAATGAAAATCACTTCTTTAGTAAATAGGCGAAAAATGTCAACTCAAATTACATTCCGACTTAAGGTTTTTGTAAAAAGGGAACACGACCCCCTCCCCCCCCCCATCACACACACACAACAAAAACAAAACAACACAAAAAAACAAAAAAT